TGGGGAACCCGAGGATAGCTTCTCCACCACTGGGGAGCTTGGAGAACTCCATTGACGGTGTCGCTGTATGTGTTACACAACCTAGTATGACTTCTAACTCTACTCCTTCTGATCCACAAACCCAAACCAGTCCAAATCCTCAAGCCCAAACCAGAGATATGTCTTCTCCTAGCCCACAAATATTAGCCTCCCAAAATCCAATCCCTCGGGCCCAAACACAAAACCAAACCACAAATTCCTCAGGCCCAAGTGACAATCCCACCACCCAAACCTCGTCTTCTTCCTCTCTTCCTCCAAAACCGCAACCGACTCTAGCAAACCATCACCCAATGACCACGCGACGGAAAAACAATATCTCCAAACCCAAATCCAAACTCAAACTTATCCTCTTGAACCTAGAATCGTGAACCAAGCGTTGCTTGATAAAATATGGAGAGGCTCAATTTCAACTGAATTGGATGCCTTTGCTCGCAATCAGACTTACGATCTCGTACCTCGTCAACCTCATCAAAATATTATTGGTTGTCAATGGATTTACACTAATAATTTTTTCGCAGATGGTAGTCATCGGTGCTGAAAATCCCGCCTTGTTGCTAAAGGCTACAATCAACAGTATGGGTGTGACTACACATCTACCTTCAGCCCAGTCATAAAGGCGACAACGATTCGTTTGATACTTGATGTTGCGGTGTCTCGGTCATGGCCTATAAAACAACTAGACGTGAATAACACCTTTCTTCAAGGAACCCTCAAGGCAAAAGTATACATGGAGCAGCCTCCCGGTTTCATCGATCAAGAAAAGCCATCTCACGTTTGCCGTCTTCAAAAAGATGTATACGGCCTGAAGCAGGCGCCACGTGCCTGGTACAATGAACTTCAACCCTTTCTTCTGAGTCTTGGTTTCAAAAACTCACTGGCGGATACTTCACTGTTCATATACAACAATGGTAAAGAACTGGTTTATCTCTTGGTATATGTCGATGACATCATCATCACCGGGAAAAGTAAAGCTGTGATCACACGTATTCTGTCACAACTAGCGACACGATTCTCAGTAAAAGACCCAGAGGATCTAAATTTTTTCTTGGTTATTGAGGCACATCATACCACCAATGGTCTACATCTCTCTCAACGCAAATACATCCTGGACCTTCTACATCAGTACAAGATTGAAGATGCAAACCCAGTCACAACGCCCATGGCATCCTCTCCCAAGCTGACCTTAAATACAGGTATTGCACTTAATGACCCCAAGGATTTTAGGAAGCTTATTGGTAGATTTAAGATTTTGGTACATCGTTAGCTTATTTTGGCGATGCATAAAGGCTCCTTATCTCCCCCAGTTTCTCCTTGTTAGTAAGAGTTCCTCTATAAATCTCAATTTTTGAGGAACATGATACCAGTTTTCTATATTTAGCAATTCTTCACCAGTGTCTCTCATATCTTCCTTTAAATTCGAGAGTTTGTTCGATTGATCATTATGTTGATTCTTCCTGGAAGCTTATTGGTAGATACAGATCGGTGGCTAACACATCAGCTGAATTAAGGTGGATTTGAAATTTATTAACTGAATTGGTATTGCCTTGCCTACTCCACCTGTTATCTATTGTGATAATCTTGGTGCTACCTTCCTTTGTGCAAATCCTGTGTTTCACTCACGTATGAAACATGTGGCGCTCGACTATCACTTCATCAGGGGTCAAATTCAACACGAAATGCTCCGAGTGGCTCATGTCAACACAAAAGACCAACTGGCGGATGCTTTGACAAAACCACTTCCTCGCCAACGCTATACAGATTTAAGTGACAAGATTGGAGTGTCTAAACCCCCTCCATCTTGAGGGGGTGTGTTAACGATACTAGAGATCCCTCTCTATTAAGTTTGTAATATTCCCTTCTTCTACTTATGGAAACATGTATAAATGTATAGCTCCTAGGGCATCTCTCGAGTTTGTATATATTCATGTACCAGCCTCTCTTCATAGATATATAAAACAATACCTTTATAGGAAGATTGCACAAGAAGTGGAGGTTGAGGTTCCTTCATCTTCTTTTTCTTTCAATGACTAATTAGCTCCATCTCTCCTCTTTTTAAGCATTATCCACATGCTCTTGAAACATTTCTTGAAGACATTCTCCATCAAAGCTTTCTTTGTCTACTTCTTCATTTGAACTAAATTTTTCTTCACCACTCTTAACCACATCATCCTTTTTCTCATCAGTAAGAATCTCTCCAATTGTGAATGTTCCACAATACTCAGTCTGAATGAATGGAAAGTTGATTGGGTTGAAGATGGTTTTGTTGATTTTGTGGTGTGTCACTTTCTTGTTGGAGAAGTCTAATCAAGTGGCGGATGTAGAGAGAAATGGCCTTCCAAGAATCAATGAAACTCGTCTATTCACATTGACACTTGCATAAGAATCCACATGAGCATCATCCAACTTCAAATCTCCAAAAGCACAAGGAATGGTGAACATACTGATTATCTTAAATTTTCCGACTAGATTTTGGTACATTGTTAGCTTATTTTGGCGATGCATAAAGGCTCCTTATCTCCTCCACTTTCTCCTTGTTAGTAAGAGTTCCTCTATAAATCTCAATTTTTGAGGAACATGATACCAGTTTTCTATATTTAGCAATTCTTCACCAGTGTCTCTTATATCTTCCTTTAAATTCGAGAGTTTGTTCTATTGATCTTTATGTTGATTCTTCCTGGAAATGGAAATTTTGGTTCATATGGTGAAGGCTTGTCTTCAAGGATTTCGTTCTTACCACTTCCTTTTGAGACTTATCCTTTCTCAATGGAGCTTTTTCACTTCTACAGTCTTCTCCACAACCTTTACTCCAACCTCATTTCCAAAATTTGAGAAGATGGTATTTCAAGTTCCTTTACCATTGGGCGACACTTGGAGTTAGATTTAAGATGAGTCAGTCTGAGATCTGTGGACTGCGCATGAAAGGATAAGCTTAATATTTTTCTGTCAAGCCCGTTGTGGTTTGTATTCACCTTGTCATACAGCATAGAAAAAGTTTTGTTCAGAGTATCAAATTTTGGATATAAAATTCTAGTATCTACTTGAACATGTTTTTGATCTTGCTACCGAGAAATGAAGAGATAGAGGAGATTCCTTATACTTGCTTCTGTTGAATCCCTTGATTTGGGTGAAACTGTGTGGAAGCGTGTTCTATTGTCCCTTCTGCTGGTAGTAATTTTTTCAAGGGTTGTAGACCTGGTTTTGATCATAATAACAAACATAATGAACCTATTTATGTTGAAGGTGTAAAAACTTATCTGTCTGCTCTTGAAGAGATTTAATATCTTTTTCTATGCAGTCATCTTGAACTTCACTATCTCTGTTAAACTGACCGAAATCTTTTTCTTAAGCAGTATCACTCTGTGTCAAGTTCTCAGTGAAAGATATGTCGTTACCAGTTTAACATGTTTTAATTAAAACAAACAAAGATTTCTAATTTATTAAAATACGGAAAAGTGGAAATATATTTTACATAAGTAATTTTATTATGAAACTACACATTTATTTAATCTTTGAAAATTACCTTTTACTAGATGATTTTCTCGTGCTCATGCATGGGTGTGAATATTAAAAAATAAATATATCATAATAATTGATTACAAATTTATTTTAAAATTTAACTTATTTTAAAATTTATATGTATGATCTTGTATAAAAAATAATCATGTTAGTTTCATTAGATATATGATTTTAGATATATAGTCTCTAGTCAGTTTAATTATAATTTGAGTATATTATAGGGTGAATTTGCCTAATATTCATAAGAGACAAGAAAATGAAGAATATAGGTAATGGATAAGACAATTATCAATACAATTTTGACCATTCTCTCATTGTCAGCATGTGAAAAAAAATGGGAAGCTAAAAGACATGTTATCCATTCTCTTATTGCTTTAACTCACATATCTATCATAACACAAACTTTTTTATTTAAAAAGGATAAGATTTTGTTTATTGCTTTACTAGGGGTTGGCCCGTTTACAGGCGGGTGAATCAACAATAAAATTATTTTATAAAATATTTTAAAAATTACATAAAATTGAAAATGATACATTTATTTTTATTGTAAGATTTAATTGGTATTAATTTTTTTGCTGGTTTGAGTTGAAAGAAGTATTTTTAGTGAACATAAAATTATTAAATTAAAAAACTAAGGAAAGTGTAATGATTTTTATTTTTATTTTGATTTTTATTTCACTTTAATATAGTTAAAGAAAATCTAAAGTAAAAATATCTGATATATTTTTCTACTAATAATAGTATGAAGTTAAGTACCAGCTAGCATTCCGGAGATTGTCGGTCTGTCTTGCTTGCCTCTGTTATCTACATAGTGGGAGCTATTGGCCTCTAAATTCATATTAGTTGAGGTGTAATTCAAGAAAGATAAGAGTTTAAATTTTTGATATTATTACATTAAATTAATTAATTTTCTCAAGATAAATAATTAATCCATCTCCAAAGCTGAACCAATTAAAAAGATAATGTAATGTGATAAAATTATAAAAAATATTAAAGTAATATATAAATAATTTCAATAATGTCAATATGTCATAGATAATAATTAATATATTTTATTTAACAACAAATAATGGGAAAATTTTAATTTTACCACATTCATTATACCATTTTTCATTTTTACCTTTGATAGAAAGATATTTTCATAAATACCTAAATCATTAGTGGCCAAATGACTAAACTAACCTTTTTAATTTATTTCTTATTTTCTCCATCTTTCTCGTTGTCGTCTTCTTCGTCAAGCCTCGCCATCACTGTATTCATGAAATTCACCGTATCTGTCTTTAAAAATTTATGTATCTTCGTATCAATCAATTTTCCTAAGATTAACGTCTCGATCGAGCTTTGTTGTCATCGTCTTCATCAAGCTTTGGTGTCGTTTTCATCGAGATCTGTCGTCGTCTCCGACGAGATCCATCGTCACTCTCTCATCGTGGAGCTTGGTTTCGATGCAAGGTTACTCCTTCTTCTCAGTTTTCTTTCTTATATATAATTTAGATATTAAAACACTCATTATGTTATTTTCTTTATCAGATTACAAAGATAATCAATAGAGGGAAAGCATTATTCTACGATTTGGAGTATCTTGATTTCACAGAAGAAGGTTTGTTTCAGTTTCTCAAATGTTTAGATAGTTAAAACATTTTTAAAAATTTATCTTTTTAAAAATATGACTCAGGGATACACACAACAAAAGTATTTCAAAAATGCCACGGCGAGAACGAGACTCACCTCATGGTTTGACCCTTATGTCCACGTCAGCGTCATGAAAGTCAAGTCCTTTGTGGTGAAGGAGAACAAGAAGATCTTGATGTTGTTGTTGTTCATGGTCTTTGGAAAGTAGGAGACTTGGTGGATTGGTGGAAAGACGATTGCTATTGGTCTGGTACGGTTCGAGAAGTGAATGAAGAATTTGAAACTGTGAAGGTATGTCTCTGTAACTTCGTTGCAATGTGTTAAAAAAGGCTGTTTAAGATTTTTGAATTTTTTTTTGCAACTTTTTTTGTTTATATTGAGTTGTTGCCTAAACCTTATGAAGGAGGTAGCTACGATGCTGTGTTTAAAGATTTGCGTCCTTCGTTGGAATGGTCACTTGAAGATGGATGGATTGTGCCTTTCTCTAAGGTTTTACTAAGCATCCTTTATGGAGTGTTGACTATGTTGTTCCTTATGCTTGTTTTAAGAACATTATTATTTTTCTTTATAGGATGGGGAAAAGAGGCAGTGTGCTAACCTAATGAAACTTCCGAGTGAAATGAAAGGAGAGGACGAGACAAGAGAAGAAAAAAGGTGAGAGTTACGAAGAAGTTAGTTGGAGATGAAGGTCTTGCGTTGAATATAATGGAATCAGACTCTATTGAAGCTGCTGTGATGGACTTGGAAGAGGTTGCTGTTCAAATAGAGTGGATTAAAGGAATGTTATCGCTTAATGTTCCTAATTCCGAAACTTCAACATGGATATGTGAAAATGGTTCTGTGACAACCCATCTTGTGGCTCACAAGCGCTGCAGCACATTGACCCTAACCCCTCACCGTGGGAGGAACTGCCTCCACATCCACCAGTAGGTTATTGATGTGCTTGGCGTTACTCGAACCCAAGACCTCCACCATTTAACAACTCTCCACAAGATAAACTGTCACCAATTAAACTGCAGATCAATTGGTGGCAACTTATCTTGTGGAGAGTTGTTAAAGGATGGAGGTCTTGGGTTCGAGTAACGCCAAGCGCATCAATAATCTACCGGTGGATGTGGAGGAAGTTCCTCCCACGGTGAGGGGTTAGGGTCGGTGCGCTGCAGCGCTTGTGAGCCACATGATGGGTTGTCACAAAAAAAAGTTGACTTTTAATGTAACAACCTGCCCTGTGGGAACTACAGGGCACCGACCCCAACCCCTCCATTATGAGTTCTCACTAAATCCATGATTAGGTTGTTGGTGAGACTCGAACTCATGTCCTCACCCTTTAACAGCACTCCCACAGGACAAGCTGTCACCAATTGAACTCAATAACCTACATGGAGGAGTCAGTGAGGGCTCACGTGAGAGGGGTTAGGGTCGATGCGTTGCAGCGCTGTGAGCTTCCAGTGGACAGGTTGTCACAAAACGTCGACTTTTCTTGTAACGCCCCGACCGTCCACGGCTAATGGGCCACGCATGCCCGCTCTCTCGGCCCCTGGGCCCCATCCCATTCCAACGGCCGGTCCATTAATTTTCCAAGGATTTAGAGTTATGTTTACTGACCCTGCAATCACTACATGACATTTCCTCGTGCTTTGGCCGCACTTACACGGTATCGCAAATCACTTCCCGATAGGTTACCCATCCTTAGACTACTCCAGCTCAAGCACGCTTAACTCTGGAGTTCTCTATGGATGTGCTCCCAAAAAGGTAAGTGCACTTTGGTGACATAGGTAGCCAAATCAATTCTCTTAAGCATTTTCCAAATACCACAAACCGGCATGTTACAATTCACCCCCTCTCAAAGAACGCAACGTCCTCGTTACGCCCCACAACAGGTCTCAAGATGCCTCTCAGGTCAGAACTAAGATGGCTAACCAGCTTTGATACCACTTGTAACGCCCCGACTGCCCACGGCTAATGGGCCACCCACGCCTGCTCTCTCGGCCCTTGGGCCCCATCCCGTTCCAACGGACAGTCCGTTAATTTTCCAAGGATTTAGAGTTATGTTTACTGACCCTGCAATCACCACATGACCTTTCCCCGTGCTTTGGCCTCACTTACACGATATCGCAAATCACTTCCCGATAGGTCACCCATCCTTAGACTACTCCAGCTCAAGCACGCTTAACTCTAGAGTTCTCTCTGGATTTGCTCCCGAAAAGGTAAGGGCACTTTGGTGACATAGGTAGCCAAATCAATTCTCTTAAGCCTTTTCCAAATACCACAAACCGGGATGTTACAGATTTTATCTTCGGTTCTTCAACAGGTACAGAGGCGTGCAGCCCTTTCGACAATAAAATTTTTAGTTTTTTAGAATAAAAGTTTTAGTTTTTTAGAATAATTTTTTTAGTTTTTTAGACAACAGGCAAAGGTGCATCTCATTGTTTTATTTTACTAATCTGTTGCATATATATTGTGCTTATTGTTCCATGGAAACTGATTCATTTGCATTTTTTTTCTTGTGTTAAGACTTTTGCTGTTTTGTCTGGAGTACACAGTTTGTGTAACACCCGTCACCTCCTACTTGGAGTACAGCGTGTCACCCCCGGCGCGTCATCAAATAACAATGTGACACCCGTCTCCCTCTCTCTAGGGACAACGGGCCACCAATAATATCTCGTAAGATAAAAATCCAAAAGCTCAAATACGCTCGCCCAAGCCCAAATAAAAATCCGAATAAAAAGTCCAATAGCACAAAGTCCGTCCAAATATCACCTTATTGCTTGTCTCACCTGAAATGGGAAGAAAGAGGGGTGAGCGACTGGGAGTCACTCAGTGAGGTATGGGATGCTACCCCGAAGTCCGTAGACCCGGACATAGCACTCCGAATAAATATAAATTAATTCTAATGCATGTCAAACACGGTACCTAAAGTACCCAAGCAAACAAACAATGGTCCTAGCGAGTCACCTACTCGCTGCCCACTAACAGGCCAAACGCTGGGATAGTGCCCAGTAACACCGCCCGAAGACGATTTATCGACCTAGCAAACTACGACCCAGCCGGTCGACTGCAGCTGTCCGTAGCCCACATACACCCGGCCATACAGAATTACGTCTCTGTACCCGTCCCAAGCAATTCTAACTAAATGATTACATTAAGCGAATCAAGCTATGTTGAATCATCTGACACCCTAATCTGGTTTATGCAAAGAATTCTAAACCTAAACAAGCAGACACCAAGAAGACCCTAAATTAGACTTAATTCACAAAGACGGAACACATTAGAAATAAAATATATTTATCCAAAGTTCTAAATCGCGTACGAATCGTTCGGAAGTAGACCCTCACCTTAGCAACTGGGGAAAAGTGGTATCTATGAACTCCAGCTGCTCAAATAGATCCCAAATCTGAAATCAGATTGAAATTCCGAGTCAGATTGACCTTCGAACGGTCGAAAACGGGCCTCTACGGAAAAATCAACCCGCTGGTCAAAGGTCAACCTGGTCAACTCTGACCCAAGCCGGTCAACCCTTGACCAAATTGAAATCGAATTAGACTAACCGGTTTTCCTTAACCGGATTCGATTTGAATTGAACCAGATCCAAATCAATTACAAATCGGTTTACTCCTAACCAAAATTCAATTACTTTTAACCACCGGTTTACCTTAACCAAAACCCAATTCAATTAAACCAGTCAAACCAGTCAACCAACCGGTTGACCGAGTCAACCGAGTTGACTCGCTGAGTTGACTCGGCCGAGTTGACCGAGTCACCCGCGAGTCACCGGCGACGGTCACCGGCGGCAACGGTGGTCCGACGGCGAGGCTGCGGTGGTCCAGCGGCGGCAAGACGGCGGTCCGGCGGCGGCGACCGACGGCGTGTGTGCGGACGACAAAACTTGCGGGGGCGCGTGACGGCTCGTCCGGGCTCCGATTACGGCGTTTTTGGTGTCTACGGCTTCGTCTCGACGAGTAGAACACGGTGGTGGCCTTGCATGCACGAGATTCTCAACGGTTCAGAAGTTATTAACGATTTACTAAATGGAGAAAACAAAGCTTCAACTCACTGCGATTTCCGGTTACTTTGGCCGTGGTGGACGGTGGTGATGAGCTCTGCCTAGTGCCGACGAGTGGTGGTCCGGACGAGCTCCGGTGATGTCTCAGAAACATGGGTTTCTCCATTTCTCCTCTCTCTCTCTCTCTCTCTCTCTCTCTCTCTCTCTCTAACTTCTGATTTTTCAACAAAAATGAGCTGATGGGGTGGGAGTTGGGTATTTATAGAAGAAAAAAAGGTATGGGGTGAGTCTTAGCCGGCTAACTAATCCCGGGGTTAGAGTTCGGGTCGTTACAATTCTCCCCCACTTACAAAGAATTCGTCTTTGAATTCCAGTCATTCGTTGACTGCCCAAATTCATAGCAATAAAACTCTGAGTAATCAATATGCTCAGTCTCTGAGGTCTTCTCCTGAATCTTTAACTCCCTCTCAACAAATCTGACAGACACTGGCGACATTTCCTGAGATGCTTCCACTTGACGATTCATAGTCTTCACTGGCTGACAAAATGCATACATTCCCTCTGAAGTCATCTGGTGGCTGCTGCAACAAAGCTCTGACTCTCTCACGACTTCCTCAAAGCAACAACTAGAATCTGATAGCTCTATTGATAGATCCAATCCCAAAGCAACTTCTCCAATTTGTAAGCGATTACTCCAAACATTTTCCACAATGAAATATGGTCCAATATATTTCAGTTTACCTTTCTTTAGCTTCTAAGTCTTACATCCTCCTTGAAAATGTCTTTATTTTCAGTTATACTCGGTCGCCTACCGAAACTTCAATTCCTTATGATTCTTATCTTCATACTCTCTGACGATCATAGCCGTCCCAAAGCCAACTTTGAGCATGTCCACTTGCTCTATCATTTCTTGAACCATTGATGGTTCTACAACTTGTTGCTCCCCCACTTTTGTTCAGATTTATCATGAAAAGCTTCATATGGCGCTGTCTCAATATTTTAACTGTAACTGTCACGGTAGGCAAACTCTGCTAGAGGTAGACGCTTCCATTACTTTCTTTCCACTGTAAGACACAAACTCTGAATAAATTCTCAAACTTTGACTGGTCCTCTCCAAGTGACCCTCTGTCTCTGGATGATAAGTAGTATTCAAATAGATCTTTGCTCCAAGCACCTTCTAAGAAATTCTCCTATGTAGACGTGAATTAACACCTCGGTCCAATACAATGTTCACAAGAATTCCATGCAATCCTTACAATCTCTCTGATGTGTGTCTGTGCCAGCTGATCAGCTCAAACTGCCTTCACAACTATTTTGGAAATAACTGATTTAGTGAATACATCCACAATCCCTCATATCCTCTCTACACATGATGATCCATAATCCCGAGGTTTCGTTTCCACTATGGCAAAAGCAAACTCAGCAATAACTTGATAGGTATCCGGTCTTCAAACATAACCATCAGACACAGCGACGCAACACTACAATCTTTTCCAAACTAGTCCAATGATAGTAACACTTCATATCTTGTAATCCTGGGTGTTTTTTTTTGGGGTGGACATAGAAACGCGAGTGATGTGTTTGCTGTAAGATCCTTTTTCTTAACAGCTCAACATCCAACACACCAACTCGATTCTCTTACCAGAACAACCTGC